AGCCACATATTATGTTATATTATATTATATTATATTATAATATTTTCTTGTACAATGTAAAACTTTGCATGAACAAATTATAGAAAACTTGCATTGAATAAGATTGTATGAAAAACTTGAATTTGAATAAGGTTATACATTTGGATTAAAACAATTATCTTGAGATAAAATAAAAAAACATGTAAATGAACTGCTGTGACTTTTGTAAAAAATGTAAAAAAAAGTTAATGTTCAGGTATACCCATCAACCTGGATATCTCCGCATTAACCAGCTGTTCACTGGCATTCACTCTATAGATTTAAATGTTGCTATGTAAATGATTAGGGGTGTCAAACTCAATTTAATCGTGGGCTGCATCAACATTATGGTTGCCCTCAAAGGGCCTGTAAGACTATATAAATGTATCTAATCTTTATCATAATTGCTTTATCGCTGGTTTTAGTAATAACTTAATACCTAGATCTGAAAGTAGAAGTCTAGGAAATTGCCTGGTGGGCCAGATTCGGCCCCTGGGCCTTGAGTTTGACACATGTGCTCTAAAGCAACAGGGTAAATATTCACCTTTCCCACTGCCCAGGCTGCTGAACACTGTTCTGAGCCTTAGAAATGGTCCTTCAAATGTCCAGGCGTGTTGGTCTCCTACAGCTTTCAGTGGTTTCTCCTGCTGACCTCCATTTTTCTACTGCCTGGAGCCATGTTGACATCAACAGGGGGAACCAGTGACAACAGTGGGATGACCCAAGAGATCGACACCCCCAAAAGTGTAGATTTCCAGGTGGACTTTGGAGGATCTTTTTCTCAGCATTAGAGCATTGTTCAACAATGCCTTGCGAAAACTTTGCATAGAGGCAGTGTTGCTAAAATATTTGTTTTATCCTCTGCGCCAGGTGAAGATGGCAACATATGCTAAGGAGGATGTTAAAGCGATATGAAAGTCAAAAGGTTTTTAGGCTATTTCAAATGATGAGGAAATCTCTTACAATGGATGCTGCTCCTTGATGTTTAAAAGTTCTTGTTTCCTGCAGAATCAACTGGTCCCCGGAGCACTGGCACTGATATCCTGTTTTAGGGTGCACACAGTAGGTATCCCTCTGCAATCCTGACCAGACTACCCCTTGAGGATGGGTGATGAAATGGCTGTGGATGGCGCCTCTCAAATTAATGCAGATACATGATGTCACCAGCACACCGAAGAAATGTGTCCAAATAAACGTCTCTTATTGCCTCATAGTGAGGCTGATGAAGTGACCCTAAAATGTGGGCATCCTTGCGACATTATGTCCATACTTCAATAAAGACATTTATTTAGACACATTTCTCTGGTGTGCTGGTGGAACTCTGTACCTGCACCCACAAACACACAGACATAGCAAAGTCACTCCCTGCTCCTTTCTCTGCAAGCTAATAGATGGACAGTTGCTGGAGACTGCTCTGTCCCTTATGTTCTTGTACTGGACAGGAAGTTCAGGGAAGCCAAGCTGAGAGATTTGGAACCAAATGTTTCGAGATATGATGACTGTAATTGTTTGTGCAAAAATGTAAAGAAATACTTTGCTGGGAAATGTACGGTATATTTGTTTGTTCTGGATTCATTATTAAAAAAAGTTTGAGAGTTTAATATTACTTTAACCCCTTCGTGACGGGAGACGTACACTGTACGTCCCGCCACAAAGGGACCAAATGACTATTCACGTACACTGTACGTGACGAGTTATTTGCTGCACTAGAAGGCTGGTAACCGCTGAGAATCAGCGGTTACCATTCATTAATGTATCCCTCAGTTTAGAGGCATCCATTAATGAAAGGGTTAACCTTTTTCAGACACCTGATACCTTAATATCGGGTGTCTGAGAGTCAAAGAGCTTTTGCCCGCATTCTGACAGCTCGTATAGATCTAGAGATATCTCTCTCAAGCTATACTGGCTTTTTTTTTTTTTTTACTTTCAGGAATAGATACATAATGTGTCTATTCCTATAATGTATCTATTCCTGAAAGAAGAATGTTTCAGTTTTCTGATGGTTGTTGTAACAATCAGAAAACTAGTGACAGCTGAATCCTGAACTGCTGCAGGATCAGTGTCACTAACTTATTATCGGCTGTTCTGAAGTTTGAAGCAGCCTGATAATAACCAAAAATTTATTCATTTATCAAGCAGTAATAGTGAGATTAATTCACAATGGCTGCTTGATATAATTAAATAAATAAAATAACATTTTTAGGTTTAAAAAAATAGTAAAAAGTGTAAAAATTAAAATTGTGAACAGTGTAAAAAAAAAAAAATAAGGGACAAATAAATGAATGTATTTATTGCATTTTTTTTTAGCTGTGCTGGTTTTGTAAAAAAATACTACAAATCAAAACTGGGAAAAAAGTGTTTTTTTTATGTTTTTTCCTCTTTTTTTATATTTTATTTGTCCTAAGTGAGGCGTTAGACACACATATGTGATATAAATATGTAGCCCTATCTGTCCTCTAAAAAACAATATATAATATGTGAGGGTGCACTTTGTAAGAAAGTATATTACTGACGTGAAATAATCACACAGCAAAAATGTCAAAAGTGTGTCAGTCATTTACGAACAGAAAATAAAAACAAGCTCAGTCATGAAGGGGTTAAGCTGAAATTTTTATTAGAAGCACATTTGATGTGCACAGCGAAAAGCCAATGGGACCTGCAATAGAGATAACATCACCAGGACAAATAGAGATTGTGTGAATCACCCAAATGTAGACAGAGACAGGTGACAGGTGTTCTGATCCCTTTACACTCTTTCCAAGACTAAAAACAAAAGTGGCACATAATGCTAAACACATAGAAAATAATTTTAGGATTTATTTGCACTTTAACACTGTATTTCAGCATTGGCATACAATTTTTTACAGTTTCTACCTAGACTGTGGAACAATCCAAATTGTTGATCGTAGGTCACCTTAATCCATTAGATAATTTTTGCCATTGAAGGTGGTTACAATTGTCCTAAAATGTGTTGGTTATGTGTTTAGATGAAGCACTGAGGTCTTGAGGAATGCTGAATTAAGTTTACTTGCTTAGGAGGACATTACATGTATGTATATAGAAATACAACATTGTGCAGGAAAAATATATATAGAAGAACTTCCTGTGTATCATAGATAAGCATGCATATAGAGAGACTAACATTGCACTATAGTGCCATCTACAGCTCAAAAGACATATTGCAGTCAGTAATACAATCAGTACATGTCCGTAGATTCTGTTGCATTTCCAACAAAATTGTTGTATGTCGGACAGCATAAAAGTCAACCACATTGCTTTCTATGGGATAAATGATACCTTTATAATTCCTCTTTGCTGTGCCATAGCACAGACAACAAATTTTGTCTTATGCTGTGAATTGCGCTATTTTCAAAACAGGAATTGACGTTCATACCATCGTGGAGCAACCGCCTTTCATCATTGCTGAAAAAGAAAGTTCTGTGACCATCGAATGCAAAGTCTCCTCCCTGTCCTCTTCCTTCTCAGTGTTCTGGACTCTGGGCTGTGAGGAGAGACGGCTTGTCGGGAAAGAAAGCAGAGTTACCTACGAGTCTTTAAACCGAGTGATTACCATATCAAATCTGACCGAGTTTGACTCTGGAATATACTGCTGCCTGGCGGAGACAGTGGAGGGGAAATTGGTCAGAGGGAATGGAACAAGACTGGAGGTGACCAAGACATCTTGTTCTGCAGGTATTTATTAAATTAGGAAGTTCTATTCTAGAGATGTAACTGAAATGTGTCCCTAATAACCCAAAACTGTGAAAAAATACAAATTCAGCATTAGTTAACAACAGTTAATGTTACTGAAGGTCTTACTCGTTGAATTGAGGAACAGAGCAGGAGTAACTGATACAAACCACTATCTAAACACAAAAACAGGACTGGATGGACAGTGGAACCTCGGTTCACAAACTTAATTGGTTCCACGATTCTGGTCGCGAACCGAATCACATTTTCTCATAGGGTTCAATGTAAATCAGGTTAATCCGTTCTGAACCATATGAAAAAAAAAATGTAACCACAAGTTTCTTTTTACCACCATTCTTGCTCTGCACATTCTTGTCACCTTCATTAACACTCCGCACATTCTTGTCACCTTCATTAATGCTCTGCACATTCTTGTCACCTTCATTAATGTTTTGCACATTCTTGTTACCTTCATTAACACTCCGCACATTATTTTTCCCACCACGCTTGCTCTGCACTTTCTTGGGAGCCATGCTGGATTGAATACAGTAATGTACAGTCCTGTGCTACAAAGCATACAAAAAAGCTCCACAGTAAGTGTCCACGGCCCTGTCTGCGACCACGATCTCGAGTACAGGAAGCCACAATTATGTTTCAGAGCGCCGAACAGGGCCGCTGTCGTGTTCGTCACCCGAAGCATTGTTCGTGAACGGAGGCAAAATTTTGACGAACTTCCTGTTCGCGAACAGAAGCGTTCGTGAACCGAGGTACCACTGTACAAATCCTGTGCCAGTTAAAACAGCTCTTAAATACATTGGGAGGATCTATCAAAACTGGAGCAGACAAAATCTGGAGCAGCTGTGCATGGCAACCAATCAGCTTCTCTCTTCAGTTTGTTCAGTTAAGATTTGAAAATGAAAGAGAGAAGCTGATTGGTTGCCATGCACAGCTGGTCCAGTTTCTGTCTGCTCCAGTTTTGATAATTTCCCCCCAGTATGTATTGCAACTGTATAATTATCTTGGATTCAAGCTTTCGTTTATTTTGTTTTTGGGTATACACTTTAAAATTCCAAATACACCTAACCACCTGTATGGACGGACACCCTTATGGTAATTTATGAAGAAACAAATGTGGGATTATCATTTAAGCTGCCAAAAATGGAAGAGTAATCCAGTAACATATCCACCTGTGTTTTGCTTACAGATCCGTGCCACTGTGAAAAGGGGGCGCTGTTACTGACAATGGAAATTTTACGTGTGATCGCTCTCATCATCCTGATCATCCTTCTTATTATAGCTATCAGAAGTTCCTATAAGATTTCTATGTTGTGAAGCTGAAACATATCTATCCTTTGTTGGAATATTGGTTCTGTGTATCTGAGTATCCTTGTAGGAATGAGATTGGGAAGCTAATCTTGCCACACCTACATTCACCCACCAACTCGTCACAACTTCCTCAAACACAACCCTGCTTACCTTAAGCCTCAACTCGAAAAAGCTCCAGGATCATTTCCTGATGGATATTAAGATACTGGAGCTGACCGAAGAAGTAAACATGGCAAAAAATACATGGCTTAGGGCAACATGGCTGCTATGGGTGGGCAAAAATGGACAACGACCAATCAGGTCATGGATTAAGACTAACCTTTACCTTACTTACTATACCTTTAGTAACAGATACCAGTAAGCTATGTCTGTCAATTGTCCCTGGTTTCCAGGAGTCTCACCTGTAACAGACCTGAGTCTTGAAATGTACTCAACATAGAAAACTGATACATTATTTGACTAAATTACTCTCTTTTTGTATTGAACCCCTACAATCCAGTTTTCCAGTATTACTCTCTTGTTAAGATAATAATTCTATTATGTAAGTGTTTTGGTTCTGCAAGGAACATATAGATAATCTCTCTCTCTTCTTTCTGATCTTTCTTTTCCTTCTCTCTCTTCTCTCACCTATCTCTCACATCGCTCTTCTCTTTCTCCTCTGTCTGCTATGAAATGACTCACTTTTTGTCTTCTCTCTCCTTTCTTTTCTCTTTCCTTTTGCTCTCCTCTCTCTCTCTTTCTCCTCTCTCTCCCTTCTACCTCTCTTTATTTCTGTCTCTCTCTCTCTCTCTCTCTCCCTCTCTCTTCTCTCTTTTCCTTCTGACTTTTTTCTATTACAGCATTCTGATTTATATTAGACTTGTGCGCCGTCAAAAAAATTGTTTCATTTCGGAATATCCGTTATTTCGTATTCGTACGAAATACGAATTTTCGTTAGTTTCGTCACATTTTCGTAACTTTATAAACATTCGTTATGATGAAGTTATAAAAAAAATACCTTTCTTAATATTGGAGTCAATGGTAACGGAATTCGGATTCGGATCCAAAATTCGTCAACGGAATTTCATATTTTGGATTAAAAAAAAAAACTACCATCGACTCCAATATTAACACAAAAGTAACGGAATGAAAATCAGTTAACGGAATTTCGTATTTCCTGCCTTTAAGTAATGCAACCCTCAGCAGCAGAAGAGAAAACCTCTGATTGGTCAACCAAACAGTCATTTTTTTTATCCGAAATACGAAATTCCGTTAACGGATTTTGGATCCGAATTTCGTATTTCGGAAAAAATATTTCCCAATATAACCAATATTAACAAAGGTATTTTTGCTTTTTAACTTCATCATAACGAATGTTCGTAACGGAACGAAAATCAGTTAACGGAATTTCGTATTTCGGATAAAAAAAATAAAATCTTGTCATGTTGTTCAACCTCAGTCACAGGAGTAATATTAGTTCCCGTTTCAACGAAATTCGGATCCGAAATTCATTAACAGAATTTCGTATTTCGGATACATTCAGAAACTGCAATTCGGATTTCGGATGCTTCCTAATTTACGAATTTCAGGAAATTCGTACGAATTTCGATCCGTAACGAAAAGAATCGCACATGTCTAATTTATATATTCAGCAATCATGCTCTGAACATTTGGCATTATATCCATATACTATTTGTAGGCGTCTCTACAGTTATAGAAGACCTCTAGAGATGCCTAGAGGCTCTAGAGGTCTCTCTTCCTCCTCTTTCTTCATATCTTTCTCTCTCTCTCCCTTCTGTTTATCTCTGAATTTTTCTATGACATCATTCTAAATTACTCATACAGTAATCATGCTCTGAACGTTTGGCATTATATTCATACTTTCTTTAGGCGTCTCTACAGTTATGCAGTTATCAGTATCGGTGCCGGAACTGAGTATTTGGGCGAGTACTCATACTCACCCAAATGCTCCGATACTTACCTCCGATACCGGAACTTCTGATCAGGGGGAGATCTCCCACTGACTGGAAGTGCCGAGGGAGCATGGAGCCGGCTTCCTTTCCAATAAGGTAGCCAGGCAGAGGGTTACGGCCCACCTCCCAGCTTCCTGATTGGCTAGGAAACTGACTTCACTTGTTGCTAGGCAGCCTGGCTTCCTAAGCTGTAATCTTCTTGCCATTATTGATCAATTGCACTCTGACGCACTTCCTGATGGCTGAGTTTGGCTGCTTAGCCTCAACACCAACTTTTTCCAGGACGATTCCTTTAGCATGGGAAGCACTTCCAAAAGGGTTAGCCTTCAGACCAGTCCCTAAGTGGGCCTTCTTGTACTGCTTGTTATGCCACTACTGCTCACGTCAGTGGTTACGGAGCTTTCTTCGCAAGACCACGGCACTAGCCCATCTTGCCTGTCCCAGAGCCTCCTACTTTGTATCTTAGGAGAAGAGGTGGAAAGTTGTAAAACGTTTGCTAGATGGTCAGGCATTTTTTCCAGATATACAGCATAAAGAATCTCTGAGTTGTATAAGCTTTGCACATTCCCGCAATGGGAGTGTGTGTGTGTGTGTGTGTGTGTGTGTGTGTGTGTGAGGGGGGCATGGTTACTACAGTAGCCACTCTGTATAAGGGTGCAGTTCTAAAATCATTTACAAAACTTACAGAGTTCAAACTTACTAATACTCTATATTTTCAACTATTTTCATGCCAGCAAGCTCAGGAAAAAATGCTACGTATGTGGACTGGCCCTTGCCCTACCCTTGTTTGTGATGGCCTGGTTCAGGCATCTAACATTGGTGGACTGGTCTTGTACCTATATTCACAGTTACTTACTAAATACTGTACTTTGCTAAGTTTCCCCAACATAGTTGAGTAAACATAGTTGGGAACGGGATTTGGGCAACATTTCGGAGCATCAATGGGAGGGCATCCTTTGTATCTCTGTGGCTTAAAAGAGTCCACAATTTCTTAAGATTGATCCCCCTGTCCTAAAATCATACCCATTTGGCCAGTTCACTTCTAATAAATACCCCTTGCATGTACCAGTCGTAAGTGGTGATTGTTGACTAGTATCACGTACCTGGTAGAACTCCGGTGGACGAGGAGGATTCTCTTGCGTCTCTTGTCCTGCACCCTCTGGAGGTGGAGACAAAGCATGGGAGGACAGCGAGAAGCACTAGTGCCAGACAGCACTGGGCACCGTGCAGGGGATGTCCAGAAGTAGAATTGTCAACAAGGCCAAAGCTCAAACTGGGCGGGCAGCGTAGAGGCAGAATCGTGAAGCCGAAGTGTGGTCGAGGAAGCTAAGGTCAGAATCGGCCGGGCAATGAGGTAAGGAAACGACAGGCAAAGGAAAGTCCAATAAACAGGCCAAGGTTAGAGGACAGGTGTCAGGATTCCATCCTGACTTAACTGGTTTGCAGCATCCTGGCTTGGCTGCCATTCCACCCACTTGTGATTCCTCCTTTGTCTGAGCAGACTGTGTAACGTTGCTCACTACTGCCAGGCTCCCTTTTATGGCCAAACAGGGAGCATCATCTGAGAGAGCCAGATGGGAGTTACCTGCCTCTGAGTGATGATGTCATCCCACTCACTATTTAAACTGCTCAGTCCAGTCTGACCTAGCCCCTGCGTGGTTTTACCTGCTAGTGCATTCTGATTCAGTGTATGGCCCGATCCCGGCTGACGTTCTCCTCTGATTCCTGCTCCTGGCTTGTTCCTGACAACGCTGATCTCCGTGTTCCTGACCTGGCTTATACTACTATCCACTCCGGCTCCTGACCTTGGCATGTTCCTGTTTATGATTTTTGCTTGCTCCTGTTGACATTTTTCTTAATAAATATTTTTTAACTAGCACCTTATGCTTGTCTGGTTTTCAATGTGCTCTGACAGCAGACAGCAAGCAGGAAGAGTCAAGGCGATCTGGGTCAAGAACAAGGTAACAGGTAATCCAACAGGGTAACAGGTCCACAAGGGGACTAGCTGAAGACCATCAGCACTGTAGCAAAGGCAGGCTTGTTTATATAGGCTAGTCCATAAAGATGAGGCATCACTTCCTGTGTACCGGACGTGTGTGTGTCTTTCCGCACACTTTCAGTTGCGCGCGCATGAAAGGCATGCTTTCCAGCCACACATAACATACAGTAGGCTTGAGCGCATGTGCGGCTGCCATCTTTGCCTTACAACTAGTGTTTATTGTTAATTAATATACAAGATACCATTATGTAAATGTCAGAGTCTTGATGACAATGCCTTTCTAATATGTACATGTTCATAAGATGTTTATGCATTTCCAGTAACAGACACTGTCCACTATATATGCTGCTCCAAGCTCGCTCCTGTGATAGGTGATAATTTTAATACAAATCAATCAACTAAAGGTGAGATTGCAGTCCATCCCGGGAGTGAGCATGGAGCGGTGGCTACTTTACAACACACGGGGACCATGGAGAACAAAAGTAGCCCCCCTCCAGAAGGAAGGACAGTGTCAGCACCAATTCAGAGTTGATTTGAGGATCTACAGCCGAGTCATACACAAATAAGATACTGTGGGGTATAGCTCAAATGGGGATCACCTTGCCTGGGAAAAAGGTAGTCCAGGCAGCAAAGTACTTTTTTTAATCTGACTAACAGTCAGTTTTTATTTAACCCCTTCGTGACTGACGACGTACAGTGTACGTCGCCAGCATCGGGGCTGTTTAAACAGACTCCCGGTGACTTTTGCCGCCGGGAGTCTGTTTAAACTTGTAGAGCCGACTGTCGGCTTTACAACAGAAGCGATCCTGGCGACTTACCTGTCGCCAGATAGTTGCAAAAAAAAACAAAAATAAAACAGAAAATAAATCCTTGCCATCCAGGCTCTGACTAAACAGACAGGTTTCCTCTCTACCAGGGGTGAGCTTATCTCAGTCACCTCACAAAACAAAACAATAGTACTTTCAGCAACCTTTTAATCACAACCATCCACCTTGTAGCTCTCTCAGAATGCTGTCTGAGTCCCAGGCCAGAGCAACATCATGCTTCAGCCTTTT